CAACAGGCGATGAGCAAATGAATGATGGGTCAGATTAGATGGAAAATATTTCTTCCCGAATTGCTTAATTGACATGGTACTCTTTCCAAGAGCAAGACCAAAGCTCCCGTGGTTTTGGTTTTGGTCTCACATAGGTACTTGGACTTGCTCATTCGAGTCCTTGTTTTTGTCTTGCAATTATGGTCAGTTCTGGCTGAAAACCCAATCGCCGTGCCGATATCTTTCAACGTCAAAAATTAATAACTCCATTATTTATCTCGACACCTGGTAATTTTATATAACTAAGGTAAAAACAAGAGTTACCAATTAAAATTCCCGACGCAGGTAATGACAACCTCCACACTCCCGATTGAAGCTTTCGAAGTCTGAGCGTTAGAATGAGTTATGCTCTTAACATTCAACTTTACGCACCTCTACTCTTCGGAGAATGCTCGCAAAACAAACAAACCACCTTTTAATCGAGTCAATTCAAATACCCATTATCGTGATATCAAAAATTGTAGTAATCAAGAGGCAGAAGTCGCGTCGCGTGGTCATTCCGCCAATGTCCATCTCTTCTAGCCATTCCCCAGGACTTCGCGAGTTGCCCACGCAGACTTCGTGACTCCTACATCTTCTTTTTTTTCTTTTTCCCTCCTGTTTTTTTTCGCGGCGATGCAATGGATAGAGGCACAGGGGCGTTTATTACCGTTGTCCGTTTGTAAGATCCGCACGCGCATTGGCGATAATCAAAGGAAGTGGCTTCGAGGGGCGAATGGGCACGTATCGGAGTCTAAGAGATCGGAATAGAGGCGAGGAGATGCGCCTTCCCATACCCGTCGACTCGTTGAATATAATTACGCCGCTGTCACGCTTCGCAGACCTCTATATATCACTATCGACGGCAAAATATGGTGCTATCGTGGAACCACGGTGCCACCGCCTATTGGCCGATTGCTCCGGAAATGGTCGAAGTAGGAGAAATATTGCTACGCCATCCGAGTGAAGCGAAAGTTTCAACATTGCTTATTCCTGTCTTAAAGTGATGCGAAACTAGCATCCGAGGGGTTAGTCGTTTATGAAACGTTTCTCCAAACTGGGTGTACCGAGTAGTTTGAAATTCCATCACGTGGATATGGAAGACTTCAAGGAAGGCATCACCCATGAAATTTCATTCTTGATAAAATATTAAAAACCCATGATTATACAAAAATTAAAGTAAATTGAGATTTCATGCCTGACGGATCCTCCCTTACGGCCTTCCCGTTCACGTGGTATCGTTTCAAACCAATTTTTTCACGTTTCGGTATATCCAGTTTGAAGAAAATGTTATAAATAATTTGGCTCCTCGGAGGTTACTTTCACGTGACCTTAATAAATATGGAGAATAATTCCGATCTCGAAAATCTGGTTAAAGGTGGTACCATGTCAATTAAGCGATTCAGGAAGAAATATTTTCCATCTAATCTGACCCGTCAGGCTAAACTGTGCAGATAAGGACTAGGTGAGAGTTTCGCACCTATATCGCGCTTATAGGGCTTATCATTTATGCCTTTATGTATGTATTTGGCGCGGAACGCTGCCGAGTTTCTTGTCCGGCCTGTTCTTGCCGAGCCCAGGGTAGGGCCTCGAATATTTCAGGTGCCAATTAATCCGGGAAATCTCCATCTTCGGGATCGCGAGTTTACGTTGCTCCTTTTCTCGAGTGCCAAAATTCCTTATTGATTGGATCGGCGATTATACGGTACGCACTCTGCGAGGAGCGGAGGTGAGTTAATGGACCGGTGGCCGCAGATGCGCCCTTAATCTCCGGATCCACTCACGAATTCACCCCTCGTGCCTCCCTTTCTCCCTGTTCGTGACATACACGTAGAGGGCCAAATGCGTGATCGCTTTAGCGAATACAGTAAACACCATCGTCGGGTACTCCAACGTTGCATACCAGATTTTTAAAAATCTCGTAATACCTCGATGTTCCAATGCTTCCATAAGCTCAAAAGAAAAACCCCTAAGGATTGTATCGTTCTACTCTTTTTTCTTTTCTACCGTGCATTCGTGGACATTTCTCACGTTGTCGACGTTCGTATTTATATTAACAGCTATGTCGAATTATATTGGGTAATGCACTAAATGGCATACTCCACCTATCGCTTTCGTACAATAATTATAAAGAAATCGAAGTAAAACTCTAGAAATCCTTTGGATTCATGCTTTCTGGGGCCCTAATTGCCTGCAGAGGGACCCCCTGCGCCATCTGTGATTTCCAGGTCAATTAAAATTTCACTCCGAGTTCTCGTATTTCCATCGTTTTAACACAGAACCGCATAAAACACTTTTTTTGCCTTTATCCCGTTCAAATGCAAGTTTATCAATTACCAGAGTGTTCTAAATTGTCGTAAAATTGTCCTGACCCTTTCGTTTCTCATATCAGAGCCTTCTATATTTGTATATCGATCGAAATATGAGAGCTCGACACAATTTCAATTCTGGTCTGGGCTAAGTTAAAAAATGTGTTCCAAAAGTCCAAATTTTAAATGTGTCAAGATAATTCTTACAAGGAAGGTACCTGAGGTGTCCCTCTCCGATTTTGTTCATTTTTAAATATGTTATAGAGGACTAAAATCTAAGGGGCCCGTGTTTCTTTTTATCGGCGGATAAACACTTTTAGGGGGTGAAATCAGGCTTCAAAGTTGGCCGTGCAAGGGGGTGAGTTGGCTGTTTCATATAGAAGCACTCGACCGATTTTCATGAAACAGCCGTCAAAATGTAGGGGATGAAGAATTATGAAACATACATTTGGAATTTTTCGAAAAAATTCATTTTTAAGGGGTGAGCCACCCTTTTCAATACTTCTTTTACCTCTTACACGAGCAGTAATTACTCTATTCAAATGAAACTTGGTTAATTTATAGACCAGAACAATACAAAAAAGTTTCATTTGGATAGAACAATTACTGCTCGCGTAAGAGGTAAAAGAATTATTCAAAGGGGTCTATCACCCCTTAAAAATGAATTTTTTTTCAACAAATTCCAAACGCATGTTTCATAATTCTTCATTCCCTACATTTGGACGGCTGTTTCATGAAAATCGGTCGAGTACTTCTATATGAAACAGCCAACTCACCCCCTTGCACGGCCAACCTTGAAGCCTGATTTCAGCCCCTAAAAGTGTTTATCCGCCGATAAAAAAAAAAACACGGGTCCCTTAAATTTTATTCCTCTATAACATATTTAAAAATGAACAAAATCGGAGGGGGGCGCCTCAGGTACCTTCCTTGTTAGACAATCACGAGTCATGTGTCAAAGTTTCGGACAGTTTGGTCCAATACCCTTAAAGAAAAGTGTTGTATTCGAATTGACTTATTTGAAGGGGGTTTCACTTCACCTTAATAGTGCGAGATTTTGTCTCGTCCAGGTCAGCACGCTTGTGCAATATGTATTCCGTGTTAACGGGGCTATCTCGTGCCTCGGACAGTAGAATGTCCGTTCTGCTCCGGAGCAGTCTCTTTCTCCGTTAGTCACGACATCTCTGTTAACTCGCGTTACCGTTCCCCTCTTCTCTTTCAGGTAAGTCGCGGGAGATACGCGTACGCGAAAAAGGGATTTCGCGGCGCCGTAGAGTCGTGCCGCGTTACGACGTAAGCTCCGAATGTCAGCTCATCTGTCGCTTCTGCGTAGTAAAGCCCGAGTACGATGCGTTGTCACGTCAAATACGACACTATTATTTCCCGCTCTCCGGCGACGAGCCGTGCCGTCTCCTCCGCGAAAGCCCCGAGAGAGAAGAGCCAGAGATGAGGGAAGAAGTATCGGAGACGCGAGAGTGCGCTTCCTCGGGGAGGTTTTTCCGCTTTTGATTTCAGTTCGGTATTGGAGGGATTTTGTGCCGTACTCCACTTAGGAAAAGGCTTATTTTGCAAGAATTACTCCATCACGGATAAGGGAATTACTTGGGGGATAAATTTCCCGAGCAAGCCTTCAAACGTTTAAAGACCGAACTTTGTACGAGAACCTTTTCCCCACCTTGTGCATATACAGTGATGATTACAGGTAATATTTTTATAAGATCTGTATACAGGGTGGGGAAAAAATTCCCGTACAAAGAATGATCTTGAAACGTTTCAATGATTGTATGGGACATTTTTCTCCACCCTGTATCATCTGCTTTGCTCTATTTTTCGGAGACTCGAAACAAAAGGTAGATGAAAAGTTTACGCAAATCGTGTCAACGCTACGAAACAAAGATGAATGTAATTAGTAACTAATCCACGTTGGTCCTGTGCGACTGGAGTCCGTACAAACGAAACCAAGCGGAAATAGTATTTGGTTATTAAATGTCCATAATCAAATGAGAAAAGAAATGTGTTAAGAAACCGAAACATAGAGGTAACGCTGAAGTGAAATCTGTTTATCCTGAATATTTATAAACAAATGATGATGCATAATGAAGTAATACGATATAACTCTACATAAAATTAAAATGCCCGAAGATAGGGATTAAAAACTGTATCCCTGAATTTATAGTAGGAGATCTTGGTGACTCCACTTCGTCTTTTACGTATCAAATATTGGTTCCCTCCTGTTCAGATCAATAGGTGAAAACCAATGATCTATTAACAAATCAAATCGAGTCACAGAACGGTCCAGCCGAACCGTCGGACACCCTGGCGCCTGCCCGTCCGGTGAGGGTAAGAGGCGACCCTCGAACCCCCGGGGCAGGGCATTCTTTCCCAGCGGTCTGGGTGTTCCTCTCTTTCGACTCCGCTTCTGTTTTCTGTCAACTCCGCACATGTCTCGCGTTATACCGAGACTCTCGTCCTTTTCTTCTTGTCTCGTAAATTTACCTCTTGAACTCATTTGTGAAGTCTTAAACTCCAAAACATCGAATCGTACCATCGAGTACTTCTCTGTCACCGCGGTCCTTTAGCCCTTGAAATTGTTTCTTTCCAAAAACTCCTCGTCCTGTAGCCCACTTTGCCTTCCCCACCTACGACTCAAAAGTGCATAACTTTTCCCCTTCTCACTATCCTGCAGCCAATCCTCGCTCCCTGTAAATGCATCCAAAAATTTGTCTTGACCTATCCTCGACGAAGTTCCTAAAAATCTCCTCCCACGATTCCAGCATCCTGAAGCTCCTCTGTACCATTTTCCTCCGAGGAAGATCAGAATTTTCTCACGCTTCAAACTACGAACATTTCCGCGAGAACAAATACGTTTCTCACCGCTCCACCGCGCATTACAAACGTGGTCAATCCTTGTTAACGTACAAGGGATTATACCGTTTCGGTTTTAGTCTAGATTTGATTGTTATCCTCTGTTATACATTTCGGTTGTTAATAAATTATTGTCTGTGTAAAATCAGTTCGCACCCGGCACCTCGCTCTCCTTCGTTGGCTTTCGCGTTCGTACGAACATTGCCGACATTTTTATTTGGTCCTTCGAGCCGGATCCGCGAAGTGGTGAACCTTGGACATTGACCCTTAACAATCGACTGTGACTGAGTGGTGAACAATCTACATCATGGCCGAGGAACAGCAACAGTCCTCATCCATTAAGCCTACAATGCAGCGACTCCTCACCAAGCAGGACGATCTGGCTGCGTTTCTGGACACCTGCACGAAAAACATCGAATCGACGAGAAGTCCAGCCGCCAGCTACCTGCACTCTCAGATCGAAGAACTCAACGCAACGTGGAACAACTTCAAAATCAACCATGCCAAGGTACTGGAAGACCCACATGCGGCGTCCCTCGCGTATGTGAAGGAAGGTCGGCGCGATCAATTTCACGCGAAATACTCCACCGTATAAACACCGTGTACAGTCTCCTTGATTCTCGTGGTCAAGCTCCGCGATCGACAACTCCGCTGTCAGTAACCGCGCCGTCTGTTCATCTCCCGCGTATGAATTTGCCCAAGTTCAATGGAAGTTACGCGGATTGGGAGTCTTTCCGGGATACATTTCAATCGGTCATTCATGAAAACGCGACATTATCAAACGTCCAGCGTCTTCATTATTTACGCACCTGTCTTGAAGGAGACGCTCTCGCCCTTCTTCAAGGAATTCCTATGACCGACAACGAGTATGACGGTGCCTGGAATGCTCTTCGCGACCGATACGAGAACAAGCGCGTTTTATTGTCCAACCATCTCGACGCCCTGGTAAACTTGCCGCTCGTGAAACGCGAATGTGCCTCCGATTTGAGGAAGCTCCGCGACGGCACCATGAAAATATTAAGATCAGTCGATAATCTTAATCGAAGAGAAATGTTGGGCAATGATCTGTGCGTGTATCTCACGGTGAAAAAGTTTGATTCCCAGTTACGCAAGGACTGGGAAAAATCCCTCGGAAATAGCTCCGATCCTCCGCTCCTCGCCGATTTAGTCCAATTCATGGACGTTAACGTCCGCGCGCTCGAGTCGTCATCATCGACGCCGAGTCTCACAAACCCGCTCCAAACTCGCGGCCCTGGGAATGTAAAACCGCGGCCCTCCGCGGCAAGGACGCACCACGCGGCCGCGAGTAAATTTCGCTCTTGTCCTTCTTGTCAAGGAACTCATTATCTCGGGCAGTGCCCCGATTTTCAAGGTCGATCACCGCATCAGCGATACGAATTAGCCACGCAGTTGAATCTGTGCATAAATTGCCTTTCTAATGGCCATAACCTGAAGGCGTGCAAATCGGAGCGCCGTTGCTCCACCTGCAATCGACAACATCACTCGATGCTGCATTTCCATGCTCGAGAGCAAGCCACCCCATCGAATGACGCCATAAAATCCGGACAATCTTCGTCTGGAAGGGCCGAAACTTCCGATTCATCTACGTCTATTAAATCGCACCTTGCCGAAAAATGCGTCGGAAGCAAGGGCATGCTTCTTGCCACCGCTATTGCGATTCTGCGAGCCCCCTCTGGAAGGCGACTCCGCGTCCGAGCCTTACTTGATCAAGGCTCCGAGGCGACCTTTTTATCAGAATCAGCAGCTCAATTCCTTAAGCTGCCGCGTGCCCGAATTAATGTCCCGATCGTAGGACTCGGCGCGGCCCCGGCCGGAATCGCCCGATCTCGAGTTCGCGTGAGCCTCGAGTCCTTATACCGGCCGGACTTCTCCTTAAATTTGGAAGCTCTGGTACTGCCCAAATTAACCAGCGCAGTCTCGCCTATGCACTTCCAATCCGCGACTTGGGGACATTTAGCTAACTTGACCCTCGCGGACGCACACCAATCGTCGACCACACGAGTCGACTTGATTATCGGCGCCGATGCTTACGGCGAATTACTTCTGGACGGAGTCCGACGCGGACAGCCAGGCTCTCCCGTCGCGCAACACACCTACTTAGGGTGGATTCTCTCAGGTCGCATAAGTTCCGATCCTTCCTCTCACGAAACGTCCGAGGACACCACCGCTAGGGTCTCCTTACACTTGCGCGAGTCAAACACGAACGACTTAATTCGGCGTTTTTGGGAAATCGAGGAAATTCCGCACGCTCACATCCCAACCGAGGAGGAAGAGAAATGCGAGCAACACTTCCAACAAACTCACCAACGAGATACCTGCGGTCGCTACATTGTAAGACTCCCGATTAAAAACTCGCCGGTTCCAGATCTGCGTTCGTCGGAAGGCATCGCCACAAAACAGTGGCTCTCATCGGAGCGGCGTCTCAATCGGTCTCAGAAAACCGCTGCAGAATACACCAAGTTTCTGCAGGAATACCTGACGCTCAACCACATGGAGTCAGTACCAGCACGCGAATCCAGCCAAGCTGCGAACGCGTATTATTTACCGCATCACGCTGTCATCCGCGACGCAAGCCTGACGACAAAACTTCGTGTCGTCTTCAACGCTTCCCAAAAGACAAATTCCGGACGCTCGCTTAACGATTGCTTGCTTACAGGCGGCAAGCTGCAAAGGGACCTACCAGCAATTGTAATGAACTGGAGAAATCAGCAATTTGCCTTCACAGCTGACATTGAAAAAATGTATCGGCAGATTCGTGTCCATCCGGAAGACACCGATCTGCAGAGAATCGTGTGGCGATCAACCCCGCAACATCCTCTGACATCATATCGGCTGCTCACAGTCACCTACGGAACAGCTTGCGCGCCTTACCTGGCCATACGGGTGCTACATCAGCTGGCCTCCGATGAGCAAGCCAACTTCCCGCAGGGCGCAGCCGCCCTGCTAAATCACTTCTACGTGGACGACGTACTGTCGGGAGCTGATAGTCTCGAGTCCGCAAGAGCGATTCAACAGCAACTGATCGCCATCTTGAAATCTGGGGGATTTCACCTCCGAAAATGGGTGTCCAATCACCCAGCTCTTCTCGAACAGGTTCCGGTGGAAGAAAGATTGCAGACCTCGCTTCGCTCGCTGCAGCCAGATCAAGAAATTCGCACTCTCGGAATCGGATGGAACCCTGTTAACGATACTTTCCAGTTCCAGATCACTCAAAATCCGATCGACGAACACCCTACGAAGCGGACGATCCTGTCAGCCATTGCCCGACTCTTCGACCCGCTTGGGTGGCTGGCACCGGTCATCATCAAGGCCAAGATTCTACTTCAGAGGCTGTGGCTAGCACAAGTTGACTGGGATCAACATCTTCCC